TATGTAAATAAATAATATATATATATATATATATATATATATATATATATATTATTAATATAATTTCTCGTATTTTTCATATTATCAATGTGTAAAAAGTTAAAAATCCATTCGCTCCTAGGGATTTGGTCTAGTGACAATAGTGGATTGTGCAACACATGTTACAAGTTCACCCCTAGTTGAATAAACTTATTATTCGAACGAATTTCAAATCGTACATCATTATCTGTTATAGTTTTCTCGATTATAAATTAACAAGAAGTTATTGCAGGAAAGTGAATGCATCACTCTCAATTTTCCAATCAAGAAGAAAAATGTTGTCCTACACACAATCCTCTTGTCAAACGGGTAACCCTATCGATGATTGTTGGCGATGTGACCATAGTTGGCAATTAAATCGCCAAAGACTAGCCGATTGTGCCATCGGGTTCGGTCAATACGCCCTCGGTGGCAAAGGCGGTCGTTACTACGTGGTCACGTCATCCTCGGACCCGGACCCCGTGGACCCGCCACCTGGCACTCTCCGATACGGGGTCATCCAAGAGGAACCGTTGTGGATAGTTTTCTCAGCTAGTATGGAGATTAAACTCTCGGAAGAGCTCATATTCAACTCGCACAAAACCCTAGACGGGCGCGGGGTCAACGTGCACATAACAGGAGGGGGGTGTATAACGTTACAATATATCTCAAACGTTATAATCCACAACATACACGTACATCATTGTTACGAATCGGGCGATACGAACGTACGTTCGAGCCCTACACATTTCGGATACCGAGGCAAGTCGGACGGGGACGGGATCTCGATTTTCGGGTCCCGAGACATATGGATAGATCATTGTTCATTGTCCAATTGTAAAGATGGATTGATTGATGTAGTTATGGGGTCAACGGGGATAACAATATCAAATAATCATTTTTCACATCACAATGAGGTAATGTTATTGGGACATAATGATGATTATTTGCCAGATTCAGGTATGCAAGTCACAATATCATTTAATCATTTTGGTAAAAAATTAATTCAAAGAATGCCAAGGTGTAGAAGAGGATATATTCATGTTGTCAATAATGATTTTACAAGATGGGAAATGTATGCAATTGGTGGAAGTGGAAACCCTACAATCAACAGCCAAGGGAATAGATATATTGCACCCTTTGACCCTTTTGCTAAAGAGGTACAACTTTTTCTCCGTATCCCCGTTTATTTTTTCTAGTCGATATATATATTGATTATACATATATTATACATTGTATACAACAATTGATTGAACGACTATTTAGGTTAAGTATTTGATATACAACATTACTAATATTAGGTGATATGGTACTTTGTCACTTTTTTTCTCTCTTTCTATTTTTTCAGGTAATAAAATAAGATTAACATGTCTTTAATTAAAGGAGTAATAATTAGGAAAAGAATTTTAAGTTTGGATTAAAGTTATGAGCTACATTATTTAAAAATTTCTAAATATTTTTTTTTGTCTTTTCTACTTTAGGTCCCATGCTTTCCATTCTTTTTAGTCATGTCTAATATATTTTTATGCCAATATAAAATATAAAGAAAATAACTAGTACTTTTTGTTTTTAATTTGTCTTATTTTATATATTATTAGCTTGAGATTATTTGCTCATACGTGTTAAATTTTTCAAAAATATTAAATATAAAGAATTTCACATGCATGCGTTCGATATAGTTTCAAAAAGATTAAAAAACAAGATAAACTTAAAATAAAATTCATATAGACTAGTCAAATTTTGTGCTTTAAATTGCATTGGATGCCCAATAATGTGAGATGTGATGTGTGTGTGGGGATCACTACATGAAGTGGTGGAGCCACGTACGTTCAGCAGAATTTAATAATTTTATCTTAAATTATATAAAAATTATTTAATATCTATTAAATAATTTATTTAGTGCTCGATAAATAAAATAAAAACTATGATTCGTTATTCTCTCGACTCCATCTCTGACTAACAACAAATATTAGTGAACTAGTCACACTTTACGCTAAGAAGTGTCAACTAACATCCGAATCAGTATATCACTTGACGTGTTTTATTAAAATTTCTGATTCTGTCACTATCCGATCGATTATAATAGGTAACAAAAAGAGTGGATACTGATGAAGGAAAATGGAGAAATTGGAATTGGAGAAGTGAAGGGGATGTAATGGCAAATGGAGCATACTTTGTGGCCTCTGGTGAAGAAGTTGAAATTAAATATGAAAAAGCTTATAGTGTGGAGCCAAAATCTGCTGATTTTATTGACCAAATTACTTTAAATGCTGGTGTTCTTATTCACAGGTTTAACTCCTTTTACTTTTCACTTTTTTTTTTTTTTTTTACTTTTTCTATTACACTTTTATGTTAACCCTAATTAGAGTAATCAACACTTTAATAGTCCCCTCTTAAGACTTTTGTGTCAAATAATTATTAGTAGTAATGTTACTAGTTGTAGTAGTAATAATTTAGGGTACTTTTATAATTTCTTAGTGACACAACAATTATGTCTAAGAAAATTTGAATTTTCAAAAAAATCCAAATGGAACATGCTTTTCACTAGTAACATTAGAAGAAATATTTTAGTTATATATATCGTTGGTAAAATATAATAATAAAATATCTATATATAAGCTTCCTGTGATTATGAAAAAGATTAAGAATTATCTGTTGTAACAAAAAAAAAAAAGATAGAAAAGGGGTTTAATTCAACCCCTTTTATATATTTAAAAAAAATTGTTGCACAAATAGATCAAATTAGTTTTTCTTATTTGAGAAAATGCATAAGTCTCCCCTGAAATATGCTCGAAATCTCAGAAACACATTTGTATTATACTAAAGTTTTATTATCTCTCGAACTTAATTTGTAAATAATCTATCACTTTTTGGCTTACGTGGTACTATCTTGTGGGCTCAGCTCGTGTTGATAATTTTTTCAATTATAGTGCTACGTAGGTCGAAAAAGATAGAAAATTATTTATAAAATAAGTTTGAGTAAAATACAAGTATGTCTCTGAAATTTCGAACATAGATTGAGAAGTTACTTGTGCATTTTGCTTTCTTTGTTGGTTCTATTAAACCAAATAGTTTCGTTTTATTTTTTAGGTATGTAACTAGGTGGTTCATCGATTACGTCTTCAAATTCTAAATATGACGATTTAACAATTATTTTTTAAATCCCCTTATTAAAACTTAGTAAATGAGTATGATTAAAATTTTTTTTATTACTATAGTTTTTATTTTGAGTTTACTAAAATGGTTTTTTTTTTTGACAATGAGTAGGGGTAGCAACAGTGGAAAATGGACGGCTACCACCAACAATGACACCGAATCCGCCGGAGACGACGGTGGAGGGGAAGATCTCGTGGCGATTTCCGGTGACTCCGACGACGATTATGGTGGTGATGAAGAGTCTAGAAGCTCAACAATTTACTCTAATTTCTCCTTGCTATTTAATTTACTAATGGCATTGTTAGCCTTATTGTAGTCTTCAAAAAAAAATTAAAAGACATTTAAAAAAAAAAAAGGAAAACAAATTGTCCTTTTTTTTGTTTGAGAAATTAATGTGTTTTGAAGTACTTAATTAAATCTGTGGTGGCATAATTGTCGCCCTAAACTCTTTAATCAAGAAAATTTTACAAGATTATTCATCTTTAAACGTTAATTAGCGGGTGTGAATTGAACGAGTTAAAATAATTTGCTCAAATATTATATTGATTGAATTAAGACAGATTAAATAATAAGGGGTTGTCATTATTTATTTAATTTGTAGACCTCTTATCAAAGTTATAATTTTATTCGAGTTATCTAATTAAAGATCGAATAGTATATATTGTAGGTGATATTTTATAAATTCATTAATTCAGATTCAATTATTTATTTATGGTGTTTCCATTCTCTGATTTTAAATTAAGAATATATATGTAGTTACTTATCTTAATTAAGGATATTTTTTTAGTAATATAGAAAGTGAAGATTTATTATAGTCCAATTTTTTTTTTGCTTATTCTTGAGAATATTTTTTGCGATAAATAATCAGAATCAGAATAGGTCTATAAAGAAATACAGAATATTATTTGCTTCGTAAAATTAAGAATTTACTTTTATAAAGTATAAGAGTTTTACGAGATCAAGTGTCTTGAATTAACGAAAAATTAAAGATTTTATTTTTTCATAATTACATCGACAATATTATAAAAAAAAAAAAAAAGAAGAAGATGGATTGTTCATAACAATTAAAGAGTGTTTATTAATTTATTAGGAGACAAATTGAACTAAATAGATGATGTTATTCTTTCTCTAATTATTTTGTTTGTCACACTTCAACATCCAATTAACTTATTTATTATTTTATTTTAGGAATAATTAATAACTTGTTGATGACTAATGACTAATGACATGATAAAATGTTTTTTTTTCACTTTATATCCAAATTGTCTAAATTGTTTGCTAAATATACTGAGATGGATAAAGAAAGAAGATTATCCACTTTTTTTTAAAAAAAGGAGAGGGATTTGATTTTAAATCATTATCCAATGGATTAAATTAAGTTTAATTTTAAATGATATTATTATCATCCCATTTTTACTTTATCTTTGGGATGACATTATTTTTCAATTGGTGGTAATTGTATACTTTAACCTACTTGATGACCTATGGCTATGAAGGGATATTAAATAAAATAGAATAATGCACGAGTATCCCCTTAATTTATGTCCGAAATCACAGAAACACATTTATACTGTACTAAGGTTCTATTACCTCCTGAGCTTATTTTCTAAGTAATTTTCTAGCTCTTTTCGGCCTACGTGGCACTAACTGATGAGATCCCCCCTCCCCCACTTTAAGATTTATAATAATAATAATACTTATAAGTAAAAATTATTATGGGATTTAAAGAATTTTTTATAATTTGAAAAAAAAATAGGAATAAAATGTAATTAGTTGATTTTGTATAATATATACTAATAAAAATGTAATAATACACGTGAAAATGATAAAAAATAACGAATTCAAGATTCATGACTTCAAAATATCCAAATAAACGATGTTAGTAATAAAAAAAATACGATGAACATAATAAATTTTACGTTGAATAAAGTTTGTCAAATAAATTCAAGAAAATCAAGGTAAATTTAATAAATTAATAACTAGATTAACTCAAGTATATTTGCATCTTTAGTACCTCAAAGTTCTTTTTTTTTTCCCTTCAAAATGAAGAAATTACATTAATTCACACACTTGTCTATACAATTCAAACTCTTTTTAATTTCTTAATTTTAATAATTATTCCCAAATAGAAGAAGATGATGAAATATCATCCCATGTGCTACTAATATTTTGATCTTGATAAAAAGAATTACAAGAACATAGGTTTAATATTGTACAAAAGTACATGTGATGTTCCATTTGACTTTGTTCATATGACCAACTTGGTATCATCCAATCCAACAATCTTGAGGATTCATCATCAACTTTTCCAAATGATGATTTTGGTTCTGAATTATTACTTGTAATATTGCTTCCAAAACATTCTGTGACACAAAATAAAACGATTTCGATAATCAGATCATTTAAAAGATAACTGTGTAATAATTATTGATTTTGATAATTTATAATAAATGAACGGAGAGCATTAAGGTGTAACTGATATAGTTGTTGTCATGTAATTAGGGTCATAGGTTCAAACTGTGAATACACTTCTTTCTTAAACGTAGGGCAAGACTGCGTATGATAGACCCCTATGTTCCGCTTCTTCCTCGAATACCGCTCATAGGGGAAGTTTTGTACACCGAACTTCCTTTAAGTAAAGTACAATACATGTACTTATATAGTGATATATATATATATATATATATATATATATAGACAATCTAGTGCACAAAGTACCATGTGTTTGTGGAAGTACCGAAGAAAGACTTCACGAGAGGATGTAATGTAGACAATATATCTTATAACGAACATCAATAGCTAATTTCACGATTCAAACTTATGAGTTATAGATAATACGAAGAAGTGAATAATGTGAGAAATCAAGGAGAATGTCGAATCGAACCTTGTTCGCAAATAAGTGTCTTCTTTCTCAAATGACTTCTCCAATAATTCTTTATTTCATTATCAGTTCTTCCCGGCAATTGTTTAGCAATCTTTGACCACCTGTTAAAATTAAGTTAGAAAACTAAATTCAATTAGCGAAGTGAAATAAATATTTATTTATTTATTGAAAAACATAAAGTTAAACTAAGGAGATTAATTAATTAATTAATTACTTGTTTCCCAATTGTTTTTGAAGTTTAATAATTAAATGTTCTTCATCTTGAGTGATATGGCCATGTTTTAAGTTAGGTCTAAGATAATTCATCCATCTCAATCTGCAGCTCTTTCCACTCCTTCTCAGCCCTGCATGGAATCGAATTTCGAACACCATTAAAATATGTATATCGATTAGAAAAATAAATAGTGAATTCAACGCGCTATTTATGTAATGATCTCCCGAATAAAAGAATTCGATGCTATCCTACTATTTATATTAATGTCCCTTTGGGCCTAGCTAGGCCCACATGATGACTTCAGTTAAAGTGTATCACTAAGGTCTAAGGGGCTTGATGACTTATTTATGCACCTAATATGTCACATACTTATTTTATCGATATGAAATTTGCCTAGATTTGTATACATTCTATCAGTTTGAAGTACTAATTATTACCTGAAGCTTTTGCTAAGGCATCCCAACGACGTTCACCTAAAATGGCGATAACATATGCTAGTCTCTCGTCTTCCTCATCGAGCCAAGGCCCTTTTCGTAATTTCTCTTCTTCCATAGTTACAAGTTGCAATGTGAAATCCATGTATATATGATGTATATTTGTTCTAATGATTGCAGCAATTTGAGAAAGTGACACTCTTTATATAGTAGTACTCATAAAAATAGCAAAATTGTATTAGAGAAATTAATTACCTAGCAAAAGTAGGTGGATAATGTACACTAGCTAGTTTGTGGAAACACCACCATTGGCTTTAGATATATTAGGTCATCAAAAAAGATTTTTCAATTTTCATTTAATATTATACCTAGTGGAGGACTAATTAGAAATATTCTTTATACCTTACGTAAGAGCAAGCCTCGTGTATACCTTATCTGCTTGTAAATTATATTGCGTATATTGTATTTATACCCAAGACATTGTATATATTAGTTAAACCATATGTATCTCCAACTATTTACTTATAAACTATAATATTTAACTTTAAGTCAGTGTATAAACACTGTTAAACGTTAAAATTCTGAATCTACCTCAAGCTCACCTTTTTTGCATCACTAGTTTTGGTATAGTATTGTCTGTTATACAATTCCTAAATACCATAAAAGTTTGTCTTGGTTTCATTATAATAATGTCAAATTTGAACTTTGAATATGCATGAGGTCACATATAGAAAAAAAAAGGATAAACATTATATAATGTTTTGTGGTGCATATCAAAAATCCAAAACATATATCTGCCCAAATCTTTGCTTAATTAAAGAATTATTATGTGAGGGCTTCTCAAATCCTTTAAGTTTTTTTTACTAATTAGCAAAGTTAACACATGGACAAATTGAAATTTAGCACTATTGTATCAACTATAATCTTGTTCCTCATATCAAAGAATAGACTATAAGTTGACATTCAAAAGATCATCAATTCATGGTATAGTAAGTATTTTTCTCATCCTTAGAGATATCAGATTTGAAATCACCTCTGTTAGAAAGCGTTTTATCCCGATATAGAACTTGCAGCACAAAAAATTGATATTGGAACAAAGGGGGTCGTAGTGACCAGGCCAAAACTTATACCACCAAAAACACAGGTTTGGCAATATCGTACGACCATGAGATACACAAATCTTGCCCCTATCTCATGCATGCAGTTAGAGAGATTATTTCTAATAGACCCTCATCAACGGTATATCTCATCTACATCCTCTGAAGATCATAAAGGAGGTTCTCTTATATAACACTTTCAAGAACTGCCAAAAACCATACAAGCTATACAAACATAAAAGAGAAACAAAAACCAAAATACTTCTTTCAAGAGAAGGAACAAAAGAAAAATGCCCAGAATAAAAAGCCTGGAGGAAGTCCTCTATTCTTCGGCTTTTGCTCTCCCACTCCTGATTTAGTGTATAAATTAACGTAATTTCTTGCTCCATCGAGTTCATTGCAAGAAAAAAAAAATTCTCCTGACGAAAAATATAGAACAAATTACAACATCATACTTCCACAAACCATTCTTGAGCAGCAGCACACGACTAGTGATTATCGAAATACATACTTGAATTACACCCTGCTGCAATGCCTGTCATCCTCTTCAACGATCCGGCGTATTGAAAACAGAAGAACAAAAAAAGGAGAAAACTGAATACCACTATAACAGAAGAACATGGTTGATTTGGTGTGTCTAATCCTGCATTTAACATATCAGGAATAACGATCAACGTGTACTTTACCCTCCTTGTCCAGCAGCAGCTGCTAATCTCTGCCATCTTAAATCTCGCTGCTTTTCCAGGTCAGAGGCCCGAGCTGCTTTCTCGGTATATTGTTTCTGACAATCTTCAAACAAATCAGCATCCATTTCAAGGAACATTTTGCGGACATTTACAGTCA